AGACCTGCGTAGTAGATCAACCTCAGGATCGTTGAGTTGTGCTGTGGCCATGGCTGCCAAGTCGATAGCAGTGCCGGCGTCAGCGGAGATAGCTTGGATGCGGGAAAGTGCATTGGCGACGGCGTTGTGCACACCTGAGACATGCCGTATATCGGTCGTAAACTGAGCGATATAGTCAAGGTGGCGCGACTCTCTAGGAGAGTATCGGTCGGTAGTCGAGCCGAGCACGTAAGTCAGGGGTTTGTGGTCGATGAAGACGGCAAAGGAGTGGCCTTCTAAGACGTGTCGAAAGTGACGTATCGCTAGATACACTGCTAGTAGTTCTCTACCGAACGTGCTGTAGCGAGATTCGGTAGGTTGTAGGCGTTTGGAGAAAAACGCTAATGGCTGCCACGTGTCGGCTACTCGTTGCTGCAAAACAGCGCCGACTGCCACGTCCGAGGCGTCAGTACTGAGGGACAGTGGGGCGGCCGGATCGTGATGCGCTACAGAAGCTATGTTGGCGATAGCCTCCTTCAGCGACTTAAAAGCAGCGCGTGCTGAGGCAGGAACTTCGAATTTCTTGAGTTTCCCTCGGAGAAGGTCCGTGAGGGGTTGCATCAGCGAGGCGCAGTTGGGTATAAATCGTCGGTAAAAGTTGACAAGCCCATCAAAACGCCTGAGCTGTTTGAAAGAATGAGGCTCGGGGTAGTCGATGATGGCTTGAATTTTATCCTGCAGTGGCACGACGCCTGCAGAGGAGATACGATGGCCGAGGAAATTGACTGAATCGACACCAAACGAACACTTTTCTGCGTTGATCGTCACCCCGTGTTGAGATAAACGATCAAAAAGCGTTCGTAGATGGCGCATATGCTCTTCTCGTGAAGAGCTTGCGATTAAAATGTCATCGAGATACGCGTAAGCGAAGTCTAAACCGCGACAAACTTGGTCGATGAAACGCTGAAAGGTTTGCGCGGCATTCTTTAGACCAAAAGGCATGCGCAGAAACTCGAACAAACTAAATGGAGTCGTCACGGCAATTTTAGCGATGTCCGCTTCGGCTACCGGAATTTGGTTGTATGCGCGTACCAAGTCGATTTTGCTGAAGATAATTTTACCTGCCAGACTGGCGGTGAGATACACTATGTGTGGGATCGGATAGCGATCGGGCGTGGTCACCGTATTCAAGGATCGGTAGTCGCCGCAAGGACGCCAGTCCCCCATGACCTTCTTCGGGACCATGTGCAGAGGCGACGCCCATGGGCTGTTGGACGGTCTGACGATACCAAGTTGAAGCATGTGGTTTAATTCGGCTCGTGCCGCCCGTAGTTTGTCTGGAGCAAGCCGTCTTGGTCGTGCGCTAACTGGTTGACCGCGCGTAACTATGTGGTGAGTGACCTCTGTCGTGACTGGTGGAAGCTCTGCAGCCGGTCGAACCAGTCGCGGGTGTTCGGAGAGGAGGCTCAAGTAGTCGGACGGTGCGTCTGCGATCCGAAATACAGGGCTGATTATCGAGGCATCTGAAAGGACACCATCAACCCTTAGTTTCGTACGGTCGTCTAAAAGTCTGTGGCGACCAGCATCAACAAGCAACCCAAAATGTCGGAGGAAGTCGATACCGATAATTGCGAAGGGTACAGACGCAACCATGAAGACCCACTGAAAATCTCGGCGAAGATTGAGGTCTAGGTTCATCATGCGCTGACCGAATGAAGCTATCGAAGAACCGTTGGCCGCACGCAAATTGTACGTAGGCTCTGAGTGCTTGTCGTTAGCGGTCGCTGGGATGACACTGACTTCCGCTCCCGTGTCGATGAGGAATGTGATGGAAGAACGTCGATCCTTAACGTAAAACAGTCGGTTTGCTTGGTTATTGAATGATACGTTTGTCGTGCTAGTATGCGGGCTATTCGTTTTCCCTGAAGCAGCCTGTTCGTGCCTAATGCAGGGAGCCCGACAACGTCTAGCTCTTCCACCGTATTGGCGGTGATACCAACATACTTCTTCGACGGGTTTGACATTATCTGACTGAGAACTTGTAAGGAAAATGTTGCGCTTTCGTGCCGAACGTGACGTACTCGGTGCAGGCACAGACGAGCCGCAATGAACGGTAGCCAAAACGTGGTCAGCATTTGACCGTGGCACCCGCTGCTTCGAAGCCTTCATTGCTGCTATCCTGCTGCGAAGTAGCGCAATTTCCTCACCTAAAGAGTCAGATCGGACTAAAGACTGGGAACAAACATGAGATTCGGTTTTCATCGGTGAGAATACGTCACCGGAGTTACTGGTCGTCTGCTGCGGAAAACGTTCGAACGCAGCGTCTGCCTTGGTAGCTAAGTCTTTCAAGGGGTGCATCTATAAACATGGACAGCATTACCGGCAATGGCTCTGGGAGACGTGCAAACCACAGCTCCTTTATCCCTTCTTCGCTCAAGAATAAGGGACCAGCGATGTGCTGAAGTTCGCGGAGCAATGCCGACGGCTTGCGATCTCCAAGCTTGAGACCATTGAGCTGCTCAAATCGTGTTCATGCGCTGGGTCGAAACTCTTTCAAAATCGCTTGCTTCATCGTTTCATACTTTGCCTCATTCGATGGGCAGAGTAGAATGTCCTCAATCAGCGTCACAACCGACGGAGGAAGGCGTGGGACGAGCTGATTGTACCTCGGACGGTCCGCCGTAATGCCCTTATTTTCCAGTTCGATCTCAAATATCGTAAACCAAACCTCTGGGCTGTGTTCCATGAAACTTGGAACAGCCAAAGTAAGCATGGTTACGCTGTGAAACGACTCAGATACCACTCTCGAAATGTGAGTCGAAAGATAAAGAATGAACAAAATACGATAAAAGTACTAAACTTACGCAAGAAACAAATGAATACAGGTATATAATCGAGAAAAAGGAACGAACTCACCAAAAAATACAAACGAGGAAAAAACGTGGAATTCGCGCGTGCGAATCGGGGTCACCAATTTGTAGGACTAGTTAATACTAGTCCGAGACGATGCGCGGAATTAAGCGCGGATATCAGAAAGCAATTGGAGTCGGACACAGCGGACTGTATTCGATGGACTACAACAAGAAGCGGACGGATGAAGCGAGACGAGAGCGCACACGTGAGCGCGGGAACTTACAAGGCAGTTGTGTGTCGAGCCGGTTGTAAGATTAAAACAAGAAGGAGTAATGTACAATCGGTCAACAAGTAAATGGTACATGAAAGATAAGAGTTATCTTTTTGGGCGCTACAACAGCCGTGCTACGTCTTGGACATTTGCAAAATAATGCGAACACTGGTTGGAAAGCCTCATGTTTAACAGTGGGCAACAGGCATTAGTTGGTGAAGAATGGCGGTAGTTTGTCGTGCCAACAAGGCCGTAAGCGGCGAATATGTGGTACTGCCACCTGTTAATGATTAAGGTTGCGCAGTGCTCGTTCTTTGAGAATGTGCACGTACCTCGTGCAGCAGATGACCGGACCGGTCAGCGATACGGGGGGCTGAAGTGGACACTCCATCGCATTCGCACTCTGTGGGATCTCCCCCACCAACTACGCAAACAAGACTGTACATATAGACGGTAACACCTAAGTACACACTATTTTACTGTACCACTTGTTTATTTATCATTCTACCTGGTAACCGTACTGAAGGCAGTTGCTTCACTATACCTATATCGGTTTCGTCCAGATAAGGATGCCCAAGAATTAAGGCTGTCATCTATGTTCACGTCTAAATGGTAAAAAACACCAACAGTACTTATTCTCATGCCTGCGTAAGTGGCTGTTATGCTAATCTTCAAACGAAACCCATACACATTTTAGTACTATTGTTCATGAGGATTAAAGTGGCTCTATCCAGTTTGTCACAGTTCATAATTAAGTTTGGACCAACACATGTGCACATGTTGTATTCGAACAGCCATTGGACAAGAATGACGCCAATCCATGTATATGTGTATACCGAATGAATTAGACTGAGATACTAATACCGCTTTTGTACGGCCAACTTAGTGCAATGAGGCGGCACTGGGGCAAACCGAAAATAACATTACCAGGACATGAAGGTGAGTTTGTGAAGAACTGATGTTGAATTCAGGTGCTTCGACTCCAAGGCAAACTTGATCGGCGCGAATTCCATGGACAGATCAAGAGGGCGGTTGCCCAGGTGCAGGAGAGGACACTATTGCATGCGGAATAAAATGACGATGCGTACGCTCCCATGCCATTTACTAATCCAAGCCAATAAGGCGGAATATGTGGTAGGTTTGCCTGTTTGATGAGTATTCTTAAGTTTCAGAAGTAGATGTTGATTGAGCTCCCCGGTGTGGCTGCGCCTGATGTGAAGGTTGACAAGGTACCTGTCTAATACCCTCCACCTCTATTATCGGCTCCAGGAGACAGTTGATCGTTGCTGCATGGCACGGGGTGCACTGTCCTCGTGACGGCGCTAGACTCAAAGCAGTTCCTTGCAACCTGTGTGGAACGTTCTACGGCCCAGCCACCGCATTGTGCACATCTGGTGTACACGTTTCTATAGAAAGAGTGTAGGCCGGCTCCGTTGATGAAACGTGGCTTCCATCCACATGCCTCCCCGTCTTATTCCTTCGGGTTTACACTGGAAAGGGGTGTATGGTTGGCGCTGTGGGTGGTGCAGCGCAAGGCACCCACGGTCCCTCTGTAGGCGCAGGCGTCCTGTGGCTTCACCCGTGGAGGCAACAGTGACAGGCCAATCCGGATATGGATGCCGCCAATCTATCTAGTGTAGTAGTGCGTGCAACTAGACCTACTGCGCTTCGATGCTTGGAGCATATAACCGCTCAACTGAAAACTGCTGTTTCACCTCAGCTTGAACAGCCGTTTATACTTATCAATTGGACGGATTTGGGCACCTGTGGCTACCCAATGTTTTTTATGGACTTTTCTTTTACTGACCTCTTTTCTTGTAACCCGGAATTTATTTATTAGTTTGATATTGAGTTGCATTTATTTTTTTCATGTTTAGCCTCTTGCTTCTCTTGCGCAATGTCGTCCTCTACGAAGGCAGCTAGACCTATTCTGTCCCGTAACCATGCGGAGGCAAGGCGGCGTGTGATCAGTTTATACAGAGCTTGGTATCGGCAGTTGCCTTTTATAGTCAACGAATATGTGACCAGCTATGTTGACGTCACTGTTCCTATTCTTCACGCAAAATTGCGCGAAGAATTCTATAAAAACAAACATGTGACTGACCTTCGCATAATCGATTTGCTTATTCATCGGGTACGAGACTTCCAGTTTACTGATTGTGTTTGCAGGGGCAGAATGAGTTGATTGAGATGGTTCATACCTGGAAGTCTGACACGCATATAATGGATAATTTTCGCCCTCATATTCCAGAAAAGCCGAAAGAATTTCTCGAAAAGTTTCTCGAAGGCCATGATCCCTGAGTTAGTTATTTCAACACAGTGGAAATCTCTTCTGATATTCACTGATAAGAACTATCAACCCAGTTACATAGAGATAACAAAACTTCTTGGCACTGTTTCTTGCCTTGTTACTATGTTGACTAGTTAAGGTGAAATATTCAGTGATAACTATCCCTTTACACTGGTCGGCCCGTAGACCTATATATATATATATATATATATATATATATATATATATATATATATATATATATCGCGATTTTGTGCGTAACCAATGTATTTCATGTGCACATATATTGAAGAGTTATGTCACCGTATCTGTATGCATTATACGCTTTATTTTATTTGATATGATCGTTTCAAATGATTGGCTGTTGATTGATATCCGCGGTGTGGCTGCGCTTGATGTGCATAATGACAAGGTACCTACTTGTCTACTACTCACTACCTCGTCCATATCGGCTCCAGGAGCACTCGGTCCTTGCTGGAGAGGACGGGGTGCATGATCCTTGTGGCCGTGCTAAGCTCGAAGAGTGGGCCCATGCACTCAGTGTGGAACGGACTACGGTCTAGCCACCGCTTTGTGTGCGCTTAATTCCCAAATACAGTGTGCTTGTGTTTGCCTGTGAAGGAGTGTGGGCCGGCTCCGTTGATGAAACGTGGTTCCCATCCACATGCCTCCCGGTCTTATTCCTTTGGGTTTACATTGGATATGAGGTGTGTGGTTGGAGCTGTAGTTGGTGCAGCCCAAGCCACCCATGGTCTCTGTAGGCACAGGCGCTCTGTGGTTGTCCTATGGACGCCGTAGTGACAGGCAAATCCCAAACCGAGTACCAGCAACCAGGTATGTAGTTACGTATTTGTGTTTCCCGAAAGTGTTATTTTGGCGCAGCTTTCGGTGATGCCTTCATTCAGGTCGTTGGCATGAAATGGGTTCGAAGGAACTCTCCGGCTTGGAAGATTGACGTCTATGGGGTGAGGAAGGTGATCCGGATAAGCAAAACGCAGTGACTTTATTTAGTGGCGAGTCGCATCCTGCACGTCGCAATGTTGTTAAACGGATATATGTGGTTTTTTAACTGGTAAACGGCCTTAACCCACCGCATCTTGGACCATCTCCCCGAGCCATTTTTGAACCGGGATTAACCCAAACCCCCAGCTGGCACCATGGGTGGTTGTTCGGCGAGCGAAGCAAAAGTTCAAATAGATGATGTACTGCTGTTGATGATGATGAAGGATGATGATATGGATGACAGGAAAAGCATTAACCGCAATTTGACACTAGGGTTTTTCGATAAGCTACCAACCCAACCAACGTGGATTGTAATGCATTACTTCCTAACCCGTATAAATTCTTTGGTTACTGACCATTCACAGGGTAAGTACCTTCCGGAGGAGGGTTGAACAAACCTGCTGGTCACCGGCTTCTGTGTGCACTACTACCGAATGCTAAGAAGTTGATTGTGCCACCTAATTGTCAACGGGTCTACATATTTATCGGCTGATTGGATGTTACAGCAGCATGATTTAATCGCTCGGCTGCATTGCGGGTCAGGTCCTTTGGTCCCAAGGATGCAAGTGGGGTCCCTTATATAAACCCTCTTCCTCAACCTTGGCAACCGGGAAGATATGCGCCCACACGACACAAGAATCTATCGGTGCCTACCTATAGTGCCCCTTCTCCCAACCTCTTAGGGTTACTCACGTGATAGGACTGCCAATTGTTCGTTCGTCATATATATATATATATATATATATATATATATATATATATATATATATATATGGCTGGCGGCAGAGCCAATGTTGCACTGAGGCTGGTGGTGGCTTGATCGTGAAAGATGGTCTACCCACTGCTGCTACTTATGTGCCATGGGCTCATGTCCTGGACGCCTCATTGTGGCGACCGTTGCATCGGAGTTGGGTTTCGCCCTTCTCCCTGCTAAGATCCAACACTCTAATCCGTATGAGCCAGTGAACTGACCATGTGCTGGACCCGCTACCTTTCGGGTGTACATTTCATCGAAGACTATGGCTGAGGACATGAATCGTTCTCCTGTCAGTTGTGGGCGCCCTGTTAGTATCCTAGTCCATTCTCTTCGGAGGTTAGAAAGTGGTCGATGGCCCTCTTCCCGTAAGACCTAACTATGGTAGAAAACATGTTCACAGGTTACAAGCTCACCGCACGATTGGCATAGAGTACGAGGGCCACGCATGGTCTTTGACAGTGGGAAAGCACCTCCGGGTGCTCAACGCTTTGCTACTGCTCACCTCAAGCCAGGCAGCTCCTGGTCAAATTGATACAAACCCGCCAAAACCCACCTACGTCTGGCCGTGGTCGCAGGTGCGTATCCAACTACGGTCGCAAAACATATATGAATCGTTACAATACCTCAAAGACTGCGTGTGACGGACTTCAAGCAGATTCCAGTCTGTCGCTGCAACCACATTCTCTAGCCGCATTTGCTCCCCACTGCTTTGTGGGCCTGGCTATTGAACCAAAGGCTCTGGGCGGAGTCACTCAAACAAAACTCTTAACCGCCCACTGTCTTGTGGTTTAGGCTATTGTGTCAAAGGCTACGGGTGGAGTCCCTCAAGCAAACCTCTGAAGCACAACCGCCGCCACGCGTGCGATTGCCCACCAATGAAATTGTATGCCTGCGCACAATGCACTCAGCATCGGGTGCTGGATCATACGCACACTATTGTACCGGAACTCAAGTGATCGCTCCGAGCGACGCACTGCACTGGTCGCGATGGAACTGGCGCGCTATAACATCGATATTACGACGATCAGTGAGACCCGGCTCGCTGAGCAAGGTAAGTTGCATGAAGTTGGTACTGGCTATAGGTTCAACTGGGTGGGTAACGCCGCCTTAACACCACGTGAACATGGGGTCGGATTTGCAATATCCGATTGTCTAAACGGCCAGCTGGTGAGTGAACCAACAGGCATCAGCGCGCGAATGATGACTGTTCGCCTGCGACTCGGGAGAGGTAAGTTTGCCACATTTATAAGCATAACGCTCGGACCATGGGTAATTTTGATGGCACTCATGATCAATCCTACACTCAGCTATCCTCCGTGATATAGTCTATGCCAAGGAGCGACCGACTATTTCTGCTGGGTGATTTCAACACGCGCGTTGGGCGTGATGCATCGGTGTGGACAGACCTTATCGATACGCATGGCATTGGTTCAGCGAGCGCGAACGGTGACAAGCTGCTCTCACTGTATGTGCCACTCACGGCCTGACGGTCGTGAACGCGCTGTTTACACTGAGTGCGAGTGATATCGCAACTTGGACGCACCCACAGAGTGGTTTTGCCCATCTGCTCGACTAGGTCATCGTACCTCAGCGGGACATGCGTGAAGTGCGCATGACACGTGTACTGCGTGGAGCTGAGTGTGGCACTGATCACAAGTTGGTGCGGACCAAACTCGAGATATCTTTTCGTAAATCTATGTATTGCACTCCTACCCTGAATAGGCGTAAAGTTAACTTTCTCTCCCTCGGTACTGTGGAGAAGCATACTGAGCTGGAGAAGGCGATGGCTGCAGGCCTTCATGATGTGGAACGCATAACCACAGTGGGCAACCTGTGGCACCACATACGCGACCAGGCGACAGTTGCTGCCGAAGAGACCATCGGGCGGACAAACTGTAAGCGGCCTGATTGGTTTGATGAGAACAATGCGACGATTGGCGCAAAGGTGACGGAGAACAATGCAGTATTTGCTGCATATGTCGCATACCCCAGTGACATGGGGAAGAATAGTCAGTTTCGCAAACTTCGACGACAACTGACCCGAGAGCTAGGTCGCATAGAAGATGCACGGTGAACTGAGAAGGCGAAGTAGATGGAATGCTACGCCGAAAGTCACCAAAACAAATAATTCTTTGACTGCTTGAAGGCGGTGTATGGACCGAGGTTGGAGCCGCTGAGGACGCTGATCGAAGGTAGTTCAGGCGTTACCTGCACACAGACCGCAGACACAATACAGATCGGGAGGAAACACTTTGACAATCACTTACACAACCATTCAGAGATAGACTATCCTACTTTGAACGGCCTGAAGCAGCGCGATCTGAAGGCGAGTCTGGCGAACACGCCGACACTGGATGAGACGCAGAGAGCACTTGCTCAGCTGCGAAACGGCAAGTGTGCTGGGGCCGACGATATCCCGCCTGAAGTATTGAAACACGGCGGACCCGCGTTGTTGACTGCGTTGCACCACTTGGTGCAAGGCGTATGCATTGAGGAGGAGGTGCCTGCTGATCTGAATGATGCCCTTGTGCTACCACTGTACAAGCGCAAAGGTAGCAAGCATTGTTGCACGAATTATCGTGGCATCCACTTGCTGAGTGGTGTACGAATTGTGATTGCCCGAATCCTGATCAATCGTATCCTCAGTCAGCTTTTGGAACCGAACGTGTCGGGAGAGCAGTGTGAATTCCGTTCGGGTCTCAGAACTATAGATATGGTGTTTGCGGCTCGTCAGTTGCAAGAGAAGTGCAGAGAACGACACCAGCCGTTGTACTCGCTGTTTGTTGATTTCATCAAACAATTTACTACGGTAAATCGCGAGGTTTTGTGGCTGGTGTTGGGTAAATTTGGTGGCCCGGGTAAATTTGTAACTTTACTTGAATGTTTGCACGGTGGTATGCGGACGAGGGTGCAGCTGAACATGACCTTGCTGACTGGACCTGTGATTTGTTTGAGACGAACGATTACTGAACAAAGCGGAAGTAGGGCCAAGAATTGGTGGATTGAAAACAGGGAATATAAAAGTGAAATTCGCACGGGCCGATAGGGCAGAACTGACGCAATAGGGGGAAGTATACGCGAAAACGTGAGCATTAGCATCCTTACCCCTATCCACTCTGCTCGATACAGCAAATAGGGCGCTATTTATTAGCCTCTGCGACAGCCAGAACTTGTTTGTATGTGAGGTTATTTTGGTGCCTGGGCAATATACTGTCAGATTGCCCAGCCCCAGACAGGAGAACTATTGAGGTT